TAAGCAGCCGCTAGACTGCGACGCGAATCCGCATCATTGCAACGCCTTGCAAGGGCGCGACAGCATCCCCGCTACGCAAAACTGTATCATGGTTGATGTCAGGCTATCTCAGGATGTGGCTCTCTGTACTTGGTATCCGACTCGACGCTAGAGTCGTGCTATGCAGCGGATCGCCTGAGGCCACAGGAGTACCGATTTGTCTGGTTACGAGGTAGGTAAACTGTTTGGCTTTCCGTGATAGAGGTATAAGGTCATTGGATAATGTGGATAAGCTGTGACATTTTGCGGTACCGTGCGAACACTTTTGTTCAAGATTCTATGAAATCCTTGTCAAAGCTGCAGCTCGTCGTCGTGCTGCTTACTATGCTCATCGGTTGTCAAATGGCAGGTAGTTAGCAATGTGCTCCCCATGCGCTTCTTTCTGGGCAGCTATTGGAATCATCAATGCGAGGCTATTCGTAACCAAAAAAGGAGGCAATGGCACACGTTTTGACGCAGTTCGAGTCAGCACATGGGAATCCTCGCTGGCGTCTCGGAAGCGCATGATTGGTTGAAAGAATGTGTCGAGCGGTCCGCACGGATGAAGTAAGCGCCAGCTTTTCTCGCATAGAGAGCGGCTCTTACAAATTAGAGCCATTTTGAAACAAATTTGAATTGCTGTGTGCTCATGAAACTCTGACAAAACGTACGAAATAAGATTTCAGAAGACCTAGCACCAGCTCCAGAACTGTGCATTACAGTTCTCCACTCCAAAGCGCTCGCACCCAGGTATTCGCGCTCACTCGAGGCCTGCCAAAGCGCCAACCGGGAACCTGGCCAAGTCCCGGACAGCGCCTAGCTGCTGCCATGAACATTGCCCCGCGTCACTCTACAGGCCGAAGCGATCGTGCCCTTGACTTTCATAGATATCGAATTCATAATGACTGCAGCTGAAGCGCGCGTCGGGTACGAGAGCTTTTATGCAGTCTCGCCCGGACGCCGCACCGTACGACATACACCCGCGACGCGATGTATGCCTCCATTCCCACCATTACAGGCTCTATTGCGTACACGCTCTTGCATCCCTTCACCGCTGCTGGCAAAGATGTGGTACACAATTGGATAGCGCATCTTTCGTGGAAGCGCATCCGCAACTGCGGAAACGGTGCTGCCACATCGGTCGTTATGCGAGCCTACGCAATGAACCTAGTATAATCATTCGTTGCTCGTGGCCAGCAGCAGGGTGTACATACGCGCCATCGACCAGAAGCCTCGTTTATCACCACAGCGCAGCAGGTTCCCAGCGTCGCAGTTCAGTGGAGACGACGGCTCCGGCTCTGAGAGGAGCAGTTGAATCGCCCTCAGACACGACGCAAGGCTCCAGGCTGGCGACCACGCCGACTGCAGAATGTCAAGGCAAACTTCGCCGGTGCGGAAGTTGATGTTTGGGTGAAATATTGGAGTCAGAAAGCGCACTGTCGGTGGCACGAGCGGGTACGCAGGCGGTAGTGTCAGCGCGACGCGAAAACAGCCTCCCTCGTAAGGTGTAGCGGCGGGTCCGCGCAGGTAGCCTTGCAGCCGGAGTGGGTTGCCTTCCTCGGGCTCCAGGCAGAAGTTTGTCGGGTCTTCGCGGAGCTCTCTAAGCTCTGTGAGCAGACGTTTCTGCAGAAGCATGGTGCAGTCCTAGGGTTCGCGTTGAGGTACGAAAAGCTGCAAGCGAGCGCTGCCTGAAGGTCGCGCGAACGCTAGAGTGACTCTCACCAGCGAACAAACCTAGAGCGAAGAATACAAGTATGCTTAGTGGCACCGAGTGCGCGGATAGTGACGATAACAAGTACAGCGCCTCAAGAGCGATACAGAGCGCACAGAACTGCGCCTTTCGCGAGTAGGATCTACGGAGGGCTTTGGTATTTCGGATGACGGCAGCGACAACAAACGCCTTTCCAGAAAAAAACGCGCCCGCGAGTGGTGCAAAGTAGTGGCGAGAAACCCGCCCTAGACGAAACTTCTGGAACTGAGGTGCAGACGCCCCGCAGCCGTTTTGGACCAGCCAACTGCTACAGCTTGCAATTCTTTCTCATATAGTAACACTTTGAAAGGTTGTCCACAAAATACCCTCTTGTCCACTCTGGAGGTCTCCTCTCCAGCATCGCACACCGTCTGATGTTGATGGCGGCGTTCAAGTCTCGGTTCACAAACTCCATACGTTTCTTGCCGCCGCTAGTAGAACTGACCGATGCAAGCAATCCTCGAACTGTCGCCCTCCTTTCCATTTGCTCCTCCGTCAGCGGTCCGTACTTTTGTATATCCTCGGGGCTCCTCTGGCACTTTTCCATCTCGACTCTCTGAAGTGTACACCCCAGCTCATGGTGTGTTTACGATGTTCGGAACTCATCAACGGGTATCGTGACGAAACGCCTTGCGCACTCTTTGTATGTTGTTGTCGTTGGAGCTGGCGTAATCCCTTTTTGGGTCTTCCAGCGTCCTGCTCCGGATGCTAGTACGAGCCTCTGACTTTCATCCTCTTTCAAAGCGCTCAACTGACTGAAAAAGATGGCAAATGCCCGCGGTTTCCCACAGTATAGATTCATTCGCAGACGAGCCCACCGAGGCTTTGTATACGCTTCTCACAGCGCATCCCAGTAGGCAACACAAACTAGCATGAATTCCCGAAACGCTTGAAAGCCGGCTCCTCGGCTCGTCACCTCGCTCAAAGCTTCTAGGCGATCCTTCATTTCTGCAGTCCATGTCTTGATTTCCTTCCTCGCATTCATGATTGCCGATCCTCGAGAGTACCCCGCTCTAGACACTCAACAGACGCGTATCTTTCTGACATAAGTTGCGGTCAGTACCATCTTCCGCACGCTTGGGTACTGCGTCGGTAACGATATATGTGTTTCCGGGGTCCGCGCCAACGACAAAGTCGTTCTCATGCACTTTCGGCGTCGAAGGATCCACCTCCTTCTCATCTTCTTGCATCATCGAGGACGGGACTGGACGCTATGGGTTGGACCACCGATCGTGTACACACATAGCCACTCCATCGGTTTCGATCATCCCAGTCAATGCCTTTCGTTTGTTAACTTTGAGACGTTTGAGATGGAAGACGTTCTTCCAGTACGTCTCCCGGTTTTGGCCAGTGAACTCTATCTTCCTTACATTGAACTCCGGACTGATCTCCTTCATGATGCCGTGAAGGATTCTGGAGTCGATAGTCACGAAATGTGACTTGATATTGGACAATGGAACGACGGTGAAGCGCTTCCCCATTAGGACAGCCTTCCGTCTCTCCCACTCTTCATTTGTCTCTTCACCCAGCTTCATTTCTGCCTCGCGTTCGAGCTCTCGGTCCAGAAACACGAAATACCGCAGGATGAGGCGATAGTATCTTTCCTTATCGTTTTTCAACTATGATATCTTTTCTGTTGGATTCGCCAGCCCCAGTACCGCACGATGCTCTTGTATAGCCGCGCGGATGACGGAATCCTCATCCGTGCTCTCATTTGACGCCTTCTTGTCGACGCATTCGATCTCATCTTTATGCTTACGATCCTTCGTGATGCCATTGATCATCGCCCCTTTTCCTTTGCGAGGGATGCCTGGGGAGAGCGCAAACACGGCGCGTTTCATGAACCGCTCGAGGTTCTCTTTCAAATGGTTCTTCAGGTTCGTAATGTACTTCATTGCCACGTACTTGTAGCTAGCCTGGTTACCCTTGTATCGATTACCCTTTAAGCGGAATTCCGCGAAGTTTTCATGGAGAGCGTGGACTACCTCATTTTCCTTCCGCGCTTTCTCTGTACCGAGCTTCAGGTGACGAATAGAGGTCTAATCGAAGAACTCATCGGGAGGCTCGATTGTTTCCATGTGTGTCACGCCTCCGTACATCTCCTTCACCGGATTCATTTGTACTGACGACGCCTTTATCATACGCATGGTGTGCAACTCGACACGATTTCTAATAGCGTTTCGCAATTTTCCCCGTAGGGATCCTTGATATGTTTAAGGAGGCAGGCTTTCACCACCATATGGTCGTACAGTCGTCTTTCCTGCCGCCTCCGACTTGGGGCCGCTTTTTGCTTCATTTTCTCTTCCTTTTCTTCTGGACTCAGCACTTTTTGTTGTTCTTTCTGGCAGCCGGTGACCCTGGGACTCCAGGATCGTCGACTTGCACTTGTACAACATTCCTTTTGATAGTTATTTTTTTTGAAAAAGAATGCTCTCTAATCGCCCCTGATGCATACTGCAAAACAACACGTGACTGCACTTTCTTGAAGTTTTAAGCACAAATGAACTGAAAAACTGTACTTTGCTACGTCTCTAACGCAAATACAACTTGTATAGTAGAGCGGCACGCAAGTGATCAGGATCGCGTTTTCCTTCAACGGAGAGACGCATCGCGTCAGTCGACTGCCTGATCACCAACGTCCGCCCACCGAGCCCGATTCTATTTTTTCATGGACAAGACGTTTACTTAGGCCAGCGTTCTCCGATTATGTGCATTTTATTCTTCGTACTTTTTTTTTGTGTGTTTTTTCAGTGCGCAGTTCGGTATCCATCAACCCCCTACCTCCATGATACATTATCTATACATCCTCTCGGATATTCCGGTCGTCTCGTACGCCCTATCGTGTGCGCCAACTGCCTGCCAAAACCGACAGCAATGGCGCTCATAGCGCCGGTGCGGCCGCTGCACGTAGGCGGAACGGCGTTGCCGTACCACAGAGGGCGGCGGCTAGAGCGAGACGCCGTGCACCGCGATGGTGGCGATCGCACCAATTGGCGGCGTCGGCTGCCCCCTGTCGTGTCTACACGTCATATGGGTGTCACGAGAAAAATGTCCGTTATAGGTGCATAGGTATAGGAGCAGCCGCCCGTTCCGTTACACCGGCGTCGGAATGGGCGTTATGTACAGGTTCTCCGTTCGCGCGTCACAGCGCGAAAATGACGTGGAAACACGGCAAGCCTTACGGTACCCGCCAGCTTTCGTATAGCGCAAAAGTTCCTGGTTTAAAGAACGAATGGGTTCTACGAATCAGCCTACAAATAGATATCTCTTCTCAAGTATGGCGAAAGGAACTGCACTAAGTCAGAAGAAGCGGTTTACAACAGCACGCCGTCGACACCAACGAGCTTTTCGCTTTATGTTGATGCTCGTCCTGGTAATGTTTTGGTTGGAAAAAGTGATAATCGTACAACCTACGGCAGCAGCAACATCAACGCCGACGGCAACACCGACACCTTCGCCTACGCCAACTGCGACACCAACGCCTACGCCTACACCGACACCGACACCGACACCGACGGCAACAAAAACGCCTACACCGACGGCAACACCGACACCGACACCGACACCGACGGCAACAAAAACGCCTACACCGACGGCAACACCGACACCGACACCGACACCGACACCGACACCGACGGCAACAAAAACGCCTACACCGACGGCAACACCAACACCTACGCCTACGCCAACTGCAACACCGACACCAACACCGACGGCAACACCAACACCAACGCATACACCGACGGCAACGCCAACGCCTACACCGACAGCAACACCAACACCTACGCCTACGCCAACTGCAACACCGACACCGACACCAACACCAACGCATACACCGACGGCAACACCAACACCTACGCCTACGGCAACTGCAACACCGACACCGACACCGACGGCAACTGCAACACCGACACCGACACCGACGGCAACACCAACACCTACGCCTACGCCAACTGCAACACCGACACCAACACCAACACCAACGCATACACCGACGGCAACACCAACGCCTACACCGACGGCAACACCAACACCTACGCCTACGGCAACTGCAACACCGACACCGACACCGACGGCAACTGCAACACCGACACCGACACCGACGGCAACACCAACACCTACGCCTACGCCTACGCCAACTGCGACACCGACACCGACACCAACGCCTACGCCAACTGCAACGCCGACACCAACACCTACGCCAACTGCGACACCAACGCCTACGCCAACTGCAACGCCGACACCTACACCGACACCTACACCAACTGCAACACCAACGCCTACGCCTACGGCAACCGCGACACCGACACCAACACCTACGCCTACGCCAACAGCAACACCGACACCAACGCCTACGCCAACTGCGACACCAACGCCTACGCCTACGCCTACGCCGACTGCAACTCCGACGCCAACACCAACTGCGACACCAACTGCAACACCGACACCGACGGCAACACCAACTGCAACACCGACACCGACACCGACACCGACACCGACACCAACGCCAACTGCGACACCAACGCCTACGCCTACGCCAACTGCGACACCGACACCGACACCAACGCCTACGCCAACTGCAACGCCGACACCAACACCTACGCCAACTGCGACACCAACGCCTACGCCAACTGCAACGCCGACACCTACACCGACACCTACACCAACTGCAACACCAACGCCTACGCCTACGGCAACCGCGACACCGACACCAACATCTACGCCAACGCCTACGCCAACTGCAACACCAACGCCAACTGCGACACCAACGCCTACGCCTACGCCTACGCCGACGGCAACACCAACTGCGACACCAACTGCAACACCGACTGCAACTCCGACGCCTACGCCAACTGCAACACCGACACCGACACCGACACCGACACCGACACCGACACCGACACCGACACCAACGCCTACGCCAACTGCAACCCCGACACCGACGCCGACACCAACACCAACGCCAACTGCGACACCAACGCCTACGCCTACGCCAACTGCAACACCGACACCAACGCCTACGCCAACTGCGACACCAACGCCTACGCCTACGCCTACGCCGACTGCAACTCCGACGCCAACACCAACTGCGACACCAACTGCAACACCGACACCGACGGCAACACCAACTGCCACACCGACACCGACACCGACACCGACACCGACACCGACACCAACGCCAACTGCGACACCAACGCCTACGCCTACGCCAACTGCGACACCGACACCGACACCAACGCCTACGCCAACTGCAACGCCGACACCAACACCTACGCCAACTGCGACACCAACGCCTACGCCAACTGCAACGCCGACACCTACACCGACACCTACACCAACTGCAACACCAACGCCTACGCCTACGGCAACCGCGACACCGACACCAACATCTACGCCAACGCCTACGCCAACTGCAACACCAACGCCAACTGTGACACCAACGCCTACGCCTACGCCTACGCCGACGGCAACACCAACTGCGACACCAACTGCAACACCGACTGCAACTCCGACGCCTACGCCAACTGCAACACCGACACCGACACCGACACCGACACCGACACCAACGCCAACTGCGACACCAACGCCTACGCCTACGCCAACTGCGACACCGACACCGACACCAACGCCTACGCCAACTGCGACACCGACACCGACACCAACGCCTACGCCAACTGCAACGCCGACACCAACACCTACGCCAACTGCAACGCCGACACCTACACCGACACCTACACCGACTGCAACACCAACGCCTACGCCTACGGCAACCGCGACACCTACACCGACACCTACACCAACTGCACACCACGCCTACGCCTACGACAACCGCGACACCGACACCTACACCGACGCCAACACCAACTGCGACACCGACACCACGCCAACTGCGACACCTACACCAACACCTACGCCGACGGCAACACCGTCACCTACGCCTACCCCGGCAATAGCCGGTGTTGCATTCTCTGCGGTGGTCAGTGTGGTGAACAAGACCGTGTGTGTTGATGTTGCGGTCGTTCTCCAGGATAACTTAGAAACCAAGCTGAATGGAACTGGAGCGAACGTCACTGTGTCGGATAACTGCGATAGTATCTTCGTGTCCATAGCCTCGCGGTTCGCCGACTGGTACGAGAGAAGCAGCCTCGACGTTCAACGTGTATTCAGCGCAACATCAGCAGTGAATGCAAGCTACAATATCTCTATCTTAGCACCTACCGCGCTCGTATCCAACGTGACGAAGATCTCTACCAATTTTACAAGTAGCGTTCCAAGTATCCTGCCAAGTGGAGCGAGTCACGTGGCGATCTCGACTCCGAAAGTTGTGCCAACACCCACACCCACACCTACACCGACACCGACACCAACACCGACAACTTCAGCAACGCCTACGCCTACCGTCTCAGTGACGCCTTCACCGACAGCAAATGTTACACAGGTTTCTGTGGGTGGCGGCGCTGCGGTCTGCTTCCCAGCGGGTGCTTCGGTGCTTATTGATGGTCTTGGCAAGACGCGGCGGATAAGCGAATTGCGCCCGGGTATGACCGTAATCGGCGTCGATTCACGTGGGCGACTGGTCGAGGACACAGTTCTGGGGTGGTTGCACAAAGAGACTCGCGCCACAGCAGAAATCCTATTGATCAAGACGCGTTCGGGGAAGGAGCTGCGCTTGACGAGGCAGCATCTGGTGTACCGGATGAACGAGAACCCGAGAGTCCCGGGCCGCAAAATGACAGCTGTGTCGAGTCTTTCACATGAGAAAGAGCAGCACATACAGAAGATCCTCGAACTGGAGACGTCTGTAGGTGAAGCGGTTTTCGCAGAAGATATCCGCATAGGCGACGCCTTATTCGACATTGCTGCGCACCTGCCGGACCCCGTGGTGGCAATTGACACTCTCGTTACGAGTGATGGCCTCTATGCGCCGCTGACGCGCTCAGGGCACCTTGTGGTAGACGGAATTCTTGTTAGTTGCTACGGGACCTATGCATCGCACACTGTGGCACATGCTGTATTGTGGCCTGCGCGGGTTGAACTTTTGCGCAAGATATGGGGATCAGCGCTCGGCTCTGACAGCACGGAAGGTATCATGCCATATGCAGAAGGACTGTACCGCGTATGGACAAGTGCAGCACGTATTCTGAAAGATAGTCGCGTGAATGCTATAGCTGTTGCCTGCTAAGAATGCGCTGCGAAGCAAAGAAGGGGGAGAGCTGATACTGGAGACCAACTCTGAGATGCCTTGCAGACACTTTGCGGCTTTTTTTACGAGTATTATTCGTAGTAGGATTCTCCGAACCGAAAAAGATCCAGGGGGAGGCTGTTTTGATATGCGGACCAAGAACGAAATCTTAGCACCAATAGGGAAGGCGGAGTGCCTTGCAGAGAGAGGATTTCCGCAAAAGAGAAATCCAGTCAGAAACATTTGTCGTCAAAAAAATGAACTGGAGAAAAGAACCAACCGTGGCTACAGCATCCGAGGCGGTCCGATTGAAAAAGATGCGATCAACTCTACAGGTGCATGGATCGTTGAGAATTCCATGGGTGCTCTCAGGTGCCAAAGGCATCCGTCGAAATATGCTCGAAGTGAGAGATTATCGGTTTCGTATGTGGATATGCTCATGAACGGATTTGCGCGCAATCGAGATTCGATCGGAGGGAAGCACCCTGTACCCCAAATGGGATACACTCGCTCAAGTCGCGGGAGAATTGCTACAGTATATGATACGTTAACCAGATTTTCGCTGGGCGGAAAAAGCCAAAATTGGTTTATAGCGGCTCGAGATTTCCTCTCAAGCACAGGAACGATAAAGGAAAGGTTCACTATCAAAAGTGTAAACATATGAAAATTGCCGATTAGAACCTCGTAAGGTATGATGATGCCCACAAAAAAAAGCAAAGGCGTACAATTACAAGTACAAGACAGCGAACCTAACATGGAGAGAAAAAACGAAGAGAAAACGAGCGAGAGTGATTATCAAGAATAAACTACATGTAAGAAATGAAAACAGAAATATGATTAATCCCATGAAAAATTACAGAAAAGGATTCGCCCCTAGAAAAAGCATCCAAATCATAGTCGATATAAAGACTAGAACGGGTGCTAATAAGTACAGAGCAACGATTTATAACATGGTAAATTTTTGGTCTAATATCAATTAGAAAGAAGAGAGCCAAAAGAGTTGATATAAGGAGCATGCCGGAAAGTACTCTATTATTAAGGAGACAAAGCAGGGTGACAAAAGAGTCTTGAAAAAAGGTGCTATGAAAATGCAGGCAGAGCTTGCCTCCAAATACTACGTAGATTAGAGCACATTATTTAAAAAAAACCCTGCCTTATACCTAAGAAGCTGTACCAAAATCGAATCCGTTATAATAGCAACGCCCGGCACTGATCTATTCTGCAATCTATAAACAAAGATATAGAAAAAAATGGAACAAAAAATCTTTAATAAAAAGCGGTAAATACAGAAAGATAATCCGATATACAAGAAAGATAAAAATATGAGGATGATGGAGAATGGGGGG